TCATCTCCAAGTTGAAGAGATCAAGAATTGGCCATCGCTCACAGATGACTTAAGCTACTCAACAAGGCAGAAGCAGTCATCGCCTCCTTTGAACTCGAAAGTACCGACAAGTTCGTGGCCATCGAGACACTCACCTCCAATCAAGAACTGATACAAGAGAGGTACATGAATGATATACTGAAATCCCTTGATGAACGTATCTTAGAACTGGTAGAGGAAGACGATATCGAAAGTACCATAGAAGATTCCAGTGACTACCTCAATGACGTCTACGCAAGTAAATTCAAGATTCAACGGTTAATCGAAAGAAAGCGCAGGAAACCAACAAACCCACCCAGCCCCGGAACAGAGGAAACAACCCCACCGACAGTTTCAACTCCGCCGACAGTTACACCCAGTACAAGCGGTGACAATACAGCACAGGTGATGTATTTCACTGCCCCGAAAACAATAAGCCTGCCAAAACTTCAACTGCCGACATTTAATGGTAATATACTTCAATGGGTGAGTTTCTACGATGCCTTTAAATCTGCAGTACACAGTGATTCTAATCTCGGAGATGTCCAAAAGTTCCAATATTTACGTGCGCAACTTACAGGCGAAGCAGCTCGCGCCATTGAAGGCCTTCAACTGACCGATTCTAACTACAGACATGCCATTCAGATTCTCGTTGATCGTTATGGACAAAACCATAAAATCATCGCCGCATACATGAAATCGCTATGGGAGATGCCAAAACCAACGGGTGATCTCAACAGCCTGAAAATTTTTTATGACAGTCTTGAAAGTTATATTCGCGGTCTCCAATCTTTGGGAAAAAGAGAAGACTCGTACGGCAATCTGCTTGTGCCGATTATGCTAGAGAAATTACCCGGTTACGTCCGAAAACAAATTGCACAGGAACACTGCAATTATGAGTGGAAACTTTGCGAATTACATGAAGCTATCCTTAAAGAAATTGACGCATTACAAGCCGGTTATTCGCTCGACAAATTTGACCGCGAACCACCTACTGAACCACCCGTCACCGCCGCGTTCTACGCTGGAACGTCTACAGAACCACGGAAACCACGATCGTGTGCTTTCTGCAAGGGAGAACATAGCCCAAATAACTGCAAAGTTGTCATCGATTGCAATAAACAATTTGTGTTTTAATTGCCTTGGAAGACATCGCGTAAGTGCCTGCAAATCTAAGTTTAGTTGCCGTACTTGTCAACGAAAACACCACACCGCTCTTCACTCAACTCAGCCTACGAACTCAAATTCACACGCGAACTCGTCGAAAACGCCAAATGCTGCGTCATTAATGCTTTAATAGTGCCCAAACTCTCAACACCAATGAAGAACTTTGTTACTCCGTCGATTCCCAACTTGCCTCATTTACGCGGTTTGAAACTTGCGCAACCCGTTTCAAGTATTGACTCTTTCACAGTTTCTTTATTGATTGGAGCAGATTTCTATTGGGACTTCGTCGAAGATCACGTTATACGCGGCCCAGGCCCAACCGCTGTAAGTTCTAAGTTTGGATACTTACTTTCCGGCCCAATCCATCAAGGAATATCATCGGAAACTAACACTACCACATTACATGTCATGACACATGTATACGAAGAAGAATCTAAACTACAAAGTTATTGGGATTTAGAAACAATCGGGATCAAAGATGACTCGTCGAAATCGGACATTAATGTTGATAACTTCGAAATCTTTCGTGATACTCATCTGCGAGTGGAAAACGGGAAGTACATAGCTTGGTTACCCTGGAAACGTGACCACCCACCGCTTCCCACCAACTACGACATCACTGAGAAACGCACTCGCGCCATGGTCCGTAAATTGACACCGGAACTTTTACAAACTTACGATAAAATCATCAATGATCAGAAATGCCGAAACTTCATTGAAGAAGTAAAAGATGACGACAATACACGTGGCCATTATTTACCGCACCACTCAGTGAAAAAGGATTCAATTACAACGCCTACATGTATACGAGTAGTTTACGATTGTAGTTGTAAATCGTGTGATTCTCAGAGTCTAAATGATTGTTTAGAAACTGGACCCTCCCTTCTGAATGATCTCACTTCAATTCTACTTCGCTTCTGCGTCAACCGCTTTGCATTAACTAGTGATATAGAGAAGGCGTTTTTGCAGGTTGGATTAGAGAACGATGATCACGAGTTTACCAAGTTCATGTTGCTAATGGGTCCGTCCGATCCCGAAAGTCCGTTCACAATATACCGGTTCAAAGTAATATTATTCGGTGCTGTTTCTTCTCCGTTTATTTTAAATGCTGTCGTCAAAACGCATTTAGAAAATAATCTCGACAGCTCTACCGCAGATGACCTCAGAGAAAACATCTATGTGGATATTATTGTTACAGGAACTGACAACACAATTGGAGCATCTGCATACTACAATGATGCTACCCAACTTATGAATTCATGTGGATTTAATCTACGCTTGTGGCATCAAATTGTGACGAACTCCGTTCACTAGCAAGAAAGGACAATGCTCTTGATTCTAATTCTACGGTTAACGTTCTTGGAATCTGTTGGTTAACTGAGTCCGACCAGTTAACTTATACAAAGAAAGTCGGCTCGCCACAGCCAGTCAGTCTGACTATTAAACGCGAGGTCGTCAGGACAACCGCTGTCTTGTACGACCCCCTTGGATATCTCTCTCCAGTACACATAAAGGCAAAATTGTTTGTTCAAGATTTATGGAAAAGAAAACTCGCTTGGGACGACCCTGTAGATGAGAACACACACAAACAATGGTTTGTTATCGTTGAAGATTTAAATGAAATACGGAACACTAAAATAAAACGCCAATATTTCAACGATGATGGAACTATAAATTCACACATTCATGACAATAAGAATGTTGAATTACCTGTGTTTGCCGATGCTAACAGTAAAGCATATGGTGCTGTCGCTTATCTTCGTCGCCATGACAATCAAACTTCGCTCGTTATGTCAAAGACACGTGTAGCGCCCATAAAAGAATTAACCATACCACGCTTGGAATTAATGGCGGCTTTAATCGCTTCTAGGTTGATGAAATTTGTGTTCAACGCGCTCAAAGACAAGTTGAACATTACGAGTTGCACACTTTGGTCGGATAGCCAAATCGTCCTGCATTGGATAGGTAGCAACAAGAAACTCCCCACATTCGTTGCGAATCGCGTCAAAGAGATCAACCAGTTTCCATGTAATTTCAATTATTGTCCAACGACCGACAACCCTGCAGACATGATATCTCGCGGAATACATGTATCCGCCCGGAAATTGGAAAATTGTGATCTTTGGTGGAATGGACCCCCCTGGTTGAGTCAAGGTGACTGGCCAATCTCTGATTTATATGACAGTGCTGTTCATCATATATCAACAGCCGACACTTCTGAAGGCGAACTTGAACACACCCCTCAGTCTGACACTCCTACCGAAACAGGAATCCAGCACATGGTCGATGCGATACGATACAGCTCTCAAAACAAATTACTCCGAGTAACTGCACTGGTATTAAGATTTATATCTAATACAAGACACAGAAACCAAACACTGAAAAATGGATACCTCACAGCTGAAGAAATTCAACGCGCTGAACACGTGTGGATTAAGGATATACAACAAGCCGCGTTTTATGAACCCATTAAATCTCTACAACATCAACAGACAAAAAGTGGCTGGCTTGTGAAACAACTTAAACTCTTCATAGACGAACGTGGTTTACTTCACTGTGGTGGGAGGCTACATAATGCTCCCTTACGTACGGACACAAAATTTCCTATACTTCTGCCTAATAATCACAGGTATACCGATCTTCTGATTCTAAACGCCCATGCAAGTGTACTTCATGCCAGAGTACAATCAACGGTGACTCATATCCGTCAGCGATATTGGATCGCGAAAATACGCCGAGTCGTAGGTAGACTTCTACACAGCTGCGTTACCTGCCGTAAAGTAAGCGGGAAGCCCTACCAGACACCACTACAAGCACCGCTTCAATCGTGTAGAGTGAATATAACTCCGCCCTTTACCGTGACTGGGGTAGACTTCACTGGTGCTCTACACGTGAAATCTCCTGAGACAGCTAAAAAAACGAAATCATACGTATGCTTATTCACATGTGCAGTGACGAGAGCCGTACATTTAGAACTTATGCCCAATCTATCAACACAAAGTTTTCTTCTCGCGTTTTGCCGTTTTGTCGCCAGACGCTCGTTGCCAGGAAAACTAATATCGGACAATGCTTCTACAGCCGCTAATGAACTGAATCAATTATTCGACTCTCCGGACGTGAAACAATATCTAGCTAACAAACGCATACACTGGCACTTCATTCCTAAACGTGCACCATGGTATGGAGGTTTCTGGGAACGCCTCATCGGAATGACAAAAAACGCGATCAAAAAGGTATTAGGGCGATCCTATGTCTCGTTTGAAGAATTACGAACTGTACTAACCGAAATTGAAACGACTCTAAATGACCGTCTAATCACTTATGTTTCCAGTGATATCGACGATGCTACGCTATTAACTCCATCTCATTTATTACATGGACGTCAAATGACAATATTACCTCACCCGGAAATAAGTGACGATGAACTCAACGACCCGACCTTCAGTAACCATGATGACGTAAACAAACGATGCGCACATCTCGCTAGGTTACTCGCGCATTTCTGGAAACGCTGGACAGCGGAGTATTTACCTGCACTACCCGAGAATCACAAGTTAACCGGCAAAACAGACAACATAATCAAGGTCGGAGACGTCGTCCTCGTCCACAATGATATTGACCATCGCATTAAATGGCCGATAGCAGTTGTCGAGGAACTCGTCTACGGAAGAGACAAACTCGTACGATCAGCGTTTATTAGAACAAACAATGGACGTACAAACAGATCTATCAACAAATTATATCCACTAGAAATGAATGCCGACGTCACAACTATGGATATACCTCGTGTAAATATAGACACAACGCATTTGGATTTACCTGCTGATCCTCGACCTTCGGGTAACACCATTGAACCACGCCCAAAACGGACTGCCGCTGTTGTTGCACGATACCGTATCTCGGACATGAACCAAGTCTAAATAAACTCTTCTACAATTCTTTGTAACAAACTGTTACATGACGTGTGAACACTATATTATTTGTATTTATAGGACTCTTATTTATCATTGTTACTGAACTTTTAATTATCTCGTGACTTTCGATATTTGCATTACTATAACGTTCAATGCATTCATTTCCGATCATTTACTGCATGTATTCTT